ATATATATATATGTAATGAAGAGCCTTTAAAAAACCTTAAGGAGCTTTTTCTCACTCTCCCAGTCTGTGAAGATGAGGTATTCTTTCAGAGTCCTTACTGGAGTTTAGCAGTTTTATTGGTGATACATGTTAATCAAGAAATAGGAGCACAAGTTCCAGTTCATTGCATTCTGACTTTTGTTTTGTTTTGTTTTATTTTGGTTGCAGTGGTTGAAAAATATGATTATGTGTTTCCAGAAAATGGCCTGGTGGCATACAAAGATGGGAAACTCTTGTGTAAACAGGTAGGTTCTTGAGTATCCACACTACTGTCTTCTACTAGTGAATGTTTTCTAAAAGGGTATTTCACTTGACCAACTCTGGGGAAGTATATTTGGGAGCTGAGGAACAGGTGGGAATGACTCTTCACCCTGTATTTTTTACACTTTGAATGTTGAACCCTGGGACTAGTACATATTCCAAATTGTTAACTATATTTTCATAATTGTTTTTTAAGGGTATTTAATCTAATATCTATTATGATAGCAGAGACTGGGGCAAGCTGCATCACCACAAGCATATTAAGAAGTACTGTGTAGCTCTTGTTGGTATTAAGATCATTCTGTTCAGATATGATATATGAAAAAGCCAGAGTGGAACAAATATGTTTTCTGTCAGTGTTTTGACTGAATAAGCTCTTTGGGCCTCCATTAAGCATCTGAAAGAGAATGGGTACAAAAATCTTGATTAATGAAGCAGAAAATGCTTTTGACTAAGCCCTTTCCGGTTTGCCTCCCGTTCTCAAGCAGGGAACAAAGGGAAAGAAGGAAAAAGGCGGTGGGGTGTGTCACCCTCACTGCCACATCAGCCTAGCGACTCGACTGACAGTGGCTGAAGACCATTTAAAAACGCCTCCCACTGAATCAAGTAACTGCACTATTTTCTTTATCCTAGAATATTCAAGGTCACTTGGGTGAGGCCCTAATCCAGGACTTAATCAACTACTGTTTGAGCTACATTGCGAAAATTAAACTCCCAAAGAAGAGGTGGGTTTGCTTTTAGCAAGAGGCTCCAGTGAAATGTGGAGTGATGTCGTTGGTGGGTTGGTGATCTTTTCTTTTAATCCTCATCTGTGGATATTGCTTTTTCGGAGGGCGTGGGAGGGAGAGAGAGGGAGAAAGATCGATGTGAGAGAGACACATCAATTGGTTGCCTCCCTCACACCTCCCAAGCAGGGCCAGGGATCAAACCCTCAACCAAGGCACGTGCCCCTGGCCGAAATCCAATCCAGGACCCTTCAGTCTGCAGGCCAGCGCTCTGTCCACTAGCCAAACTGGCTAGGGCTGGTGATCTTTTAAGTCCAAAGCCCAGTGCTTAATAAAGAATCACTAGAGCCCTGGCCAGTGTGGCTCAGTTGGTCAAGCAACATCCCATCAGAGCACATGCCCAGGTTGTGGGTTTGATCCCCAGTAAGGGTGCATACAGGAGGCAACCAATCGATGTTTCTCTCTCTCTCTCTAAAAAAAAAAAAAAAAATCAATTAAAAAAAAAA